CGTGACCCAAGTGAAGCAGAAGGCCCAGCGTGGTGCATCGTCTTCAGCATGCTGCACTTGCCAGAGGGCCCCCGGGGGAGGAGGACACCCCATGAGTCACTGCAGACAAGGGAATCCAAGGGTGAGGGTACAGGACGGAGCGTATAGTACCATAATTATATATCAAGGACAAGGCAAGTTTAAAGGGGGCCCTGTGATGCTTTTTGGGGTTTTCCCTTTCCTGTGTGTGTTTATAGGTGTGGGTGTCACTGTAAATGGTTCTGCAAAGGGGCTGATTTCTCTCCAGACAGAGTTCTCTCACACACTCCCCCCCCCCCCTTATTTACTCCCTCAACATAGTGACATGACTTTGTAACACTCACGCTCCTATTGGCTAGCGCTCCAACACATTGCACGTGATAGGCTAAGGGGTGGGACATCTCTAAGCGGTTGACCAATCACAACAGAGCCAGCCAGCTAAGCAATCAGAGCAGACTGGGCTCTGGTTTCAGACAGAGGGTGAAAAGAGGTGCTGCAGCACAGTCAGTATGAGAAAAATAAATAGCTTTTTAACATTAAAGCAGTTACAGTAGAGACACACAATACAAATATGAACCTGAAAATGAGCATACCAGGGCCCCTTTAATTAATATAGCACATTTCAACATTTTGGTCCTAAACAATCAGCGCCTTATAAGCCAGACACTGAACTCCTCCTCCTGTTTCTCCATCAGACCTGCAGCACGACTGGGCAGCTGGTCAGACTTCGAAGAGGAAGAGGGGTCGAAAGCCCAAAGTGATGATGGCCGTCAACACCAACAGAGCTCACCACAAGGACGACCGGACCTCCGACAAAAAACAGGAAGTCAGGGAAGAGAAGAGTGACAGCGAGAGCTCAGAGCACGGTGAGTTACAGTTCCGGTCAGCGTGAGAATTATGGGGGGGCTGGGGAGCTCTGATAACACTTTGACTCCCTCAAAAAGGCGAGGGGGTTGAAACATTAATATATACTTCTTAAATGTAATCGTGATTAAATAATATAGTATTTTTCAAGAGAATCTGTACCAAAAAATACTGTATATTTGTAGGCGTGCTCGGCAGCTTTACAATACTTAACAATTTATTTTAACACATATTTATCCAAATATTGTGCTTGCCGTGATTTGGATATTGCATCGTAGTCCATTTTGCGATTTTGTTAACATTTTGATTCATTGTGCAGCCCCGCTGCCTTCTTCACTTCCGACTTTCTGAATACGATTATGTCAAGTGCCTGCAGTTGAACGCTTACATAAGCTGTGTGTCGGATTGTCACACACTCATATGTAGTCCGGTGTGTCCTCCAGCCACAGTTTCACAGGTTATTACAAATGTGAGTCGAGCTGTGGCTGGTGGCTGAAAGAACATCAGCCAGACACACAGAATGCCTGTGTGTGTGTGTGTGTGTGTGTGTGTGTGTGTTCGTGAAGTATCTGAGAGTGAGTTGTCTGCCGTCATCGAGGGGGCCCTTCTCTCACTTCCCAGCTCGTCTGTCACACCGTTAAAACCGTTAACGACTTGCCACAGGCATGCAACACAGCTACCCCGGCCCTCAACGCCACGCCGTAACGTGAGCCTCGCTCTGGCCCGGCTCAGAATCTCACACCCTGGACTTCCCCTCTTCTTCACCTCCCCAACGTCAGGAAAATGACGGAGGTTTGACGTGAGGAGAAATAAATCTTCCTGACTTTAAAACAAAATGCCTCAGACGAGAAGACGCTCAAAACAAAACTAACAGAACTTAAAGAAAACGCTCAAATCTGAACGACCTCGTTGCCTCGATGGCTCAAGAAGCAGTGGTTGAATGTGTGTGTGTCCCAGTGTGTGTGTGTGTGTGTGTGTGTGTGTGGGACTGAGGCAAAGTGTTGACGAGAACGCCATGTAAGTGACAAGTGTGTCAGAGATGTGTCGACACCCGACACGACCCCCTGCAGTCAGCGACACACAGCTGCCAATAACAAACTGTGTGTATTTGTGTGTGTGCTGCATATGTGCATGTGTGTCAACATTTGCTCCCCGTCACTGCACTTAAGGAAAAAGCCACTCATTATTATGCAGCTCGGAGTTAATATGTGACAAAATATGGCACTTTAAAAGCCTCCGAGAGAAGTTTGTTTCATTCGGAACGAACGGCGACATTTCTCTGCTCACTTTTGTATTCACGGCCACGAGTGTTTAGCCACAGGCTTGAGAACTGAACTGTAGATGCTAGAGGAATATTGAAAGCTAGCTGTCAATACTCCTCATCAAGTGAGTCCCTGGCTTTAGCTAACAGTGTTTACATGTAGATCTCTTGAAGCTGACTGACTGATCATATTGATGTTGTGATTTCCACAGAGGAGGACGAGGAGGACGGCAGCTACGACAGCGAAGACGGAGCCGGTGACATCCAGATTAGTTCATCCTCTAAAGAAGCTCCTGCAAACCCTGCCGGGATTCTGCCTTTTTTATCGCAGTCCTCCAAGCTCCAAGCAAACCAGAGAGCCGGGAGTAAGAGACCAGGGCCCCCCGGTGAGACCTTTGTACTTTAAGTCTGTGTATCCGCTGCTGTCAACATGCTTTATACTTGAAGTGAAGGGAAACATTAAAGGTCCCATGTCATGGCCATTTCTACTGATCATAATTCCATTGTTGAGGTCTACTAGAATAGATTTACATTGTTCAATGTTCCAAAATGACATTGGTTTCTCATACAGCATCTCTGTATAGCAGGGGTAGCCAACACGGTGCCCGCGGGCACTTAGTCGCCCGCAGGGGCAACGTGAGTCTAACAGTGTTTACATGTAGATCTCTTGTTCTAAAAATAGCTCGCCAAGCAAATCCAAAATGTATACAATACACAAAACAAAAAAGGAAATGTAATTAAAAGAACCTACCCTATGCATAAACGAAACCTCAATCATAGCGAACCCTATTTACTTACTACAACTCTATATATATCTAACACACCTCCTCCCCCCATCCCCACAATGAATATCGACCAATCACGTTCTTGCTTGATTTGCGGGACCAGCGTTGCAGTCGGGAAGAAAAGCAATGTGGCACCTCCCCGCTGATTTTCCTGAGTTTTACTGTGTGTGTGTTGCAACTTGCATATATATTTATTGCACTTGACGCACACATACACATGGCGTAATTTCCTTAAAAAAAACAGTTTAAAAGGGGAGTGAGTAGTCAAATATGCATAAATGAAAAGATAGAATGCTAACTAAGTAACATAAGATAAGAATAAACAAGTTGAAATGATTTGTTATTGGTTGTGATCATATCCTAAAGATGTTTGGATTATTGAAAAGTATACAACTCCCTTTCATATGAGTGTTGAGAGCTGTATCCATCAATTCATTTTGTGCTCCAGATTGATGCATTTCACTTCAACATTT